CCCGCCTGTAGGTACGGCCTGTTTGTCCTCGGGTCTTGGACCTCTGCTCCCTCACTCCCGACTCCTGGTCGTCCCTTAGGGGGTGCGCGTGTATGGGCACCACTGCCCCGGCGAACGCTGCCGCACGAGCCCTGTCCGCGCGTGTCGCCTTTGTGTGCGCGGGTGGGAGGGAGGAGGGCGTGCGAGGGAGGGGATGCGCCCCCCGCAGGGATCGGCTCGCCGACCCCCAACCCAGGCGGAGTGGGGAGTGGCCGAGCTGCCTCGGGAGCAGCTGCGCCCCCGCCCCTTCCTATGCTCCCGGACAGGCGGTAGGGTGAGCACTGCGGGCCCCACCGAGAGAAGGTGGTCCCTGGCCGAAGGGAGGGGTGCCCAGGTTTCTTCCCTAGGTAGGAGTGGTGGGGTTAAACCTGAAACGAGGATGAGGGTTACGGGCTGGGGTCGAGAGGGATCTCTTCCAGGCCACAGTCCACGGGCCGGCACGCCCTCCGTTTGCCCAGGCCCGCTTTCTCTCGGTAGCCGACCCGCCCACCCGGAGATGTCTCGGCAACCCCTGTTAGTGAGGAGGATCTCTAGTTGCGAGCATCACCGAAGGTGCTCGGGAGGCCGGCGCCTTTAAGAAGGGGCGGGTTCGTGCCCTCCATTCAGGCCCCAGGGCCTCAGCCATTGATGAACCTGCGGGCTGCGCGGGGCGCGGGCCCGGAACCGCGCCAGCCTGGCCGGCTGAGGCCAGGCGGAGGCGGGACACATCCTGGCCCCTAGCAGTCCCTGAATTGGGGGTCTTCGGAAGAGAAGTCTGCAGTCACTAGGGCTCTTCCGGAGCCACTCAGGGCAGAATGGCCAGCGTCAGGAATGACCATGGACATGAAGAAGCCAAAATCTCTGTTCACACCGTGCTGCAGCAGCAGATCGCTCAGGGGCTACTGTGAGACCTGGGATGACCCCTACCTCTTCCCTGAGCCCACACCGTCTACCCTGTAACGCGGGGACGGTGCTGCCTGCCTCCTAGCTGGGTAAGGAACAGGAGGGGTCTCTGGCCAAGGAATCACAAAGCACTTGAAGAGTGAGCCCCTCTGCCTCTGTTGGGGGAATGAGCTGAAGTTCCCCTACTCTGCCCCATCTTAAACAAATCTCTTCCCTCCTGACTTCCCTGCTCCATCCAGGAAGCTCCTGGCTGAGGGAGTGACCTAGAACTTTTCAGCTCCAGGGACTTTAGGAGAGGTCTGGCAGCCGGCACTAGGGTGGATTGGTGGTGTGGGTTTCCCAGGCAGTTTCCTACCGCCTGCTTCCTTCCACTCTCCTTCCTTGGAATCTCTCCACCGAGTTCTGAAACATCCCCACCTTCTGGAGGGTGTGAACCTTGGTGGACAAGAGCTTCTGCTGATGCGTAGCGGTTGGTTTTGGGGGATGAAGGTTAATGCACACTCTTCTCCTGGCCCTTCTTGGGCAAAATCTGAAGTCTCTAAACCCCATTTCCCTATTTAGTGTGGGTTTTCTGGGGAAAACTCCCAAACACATCTAGGAGGGTTTCCCTCTAGGATGTTGGAGAGCAGGGGACAGATGGGGGGTGCCCTCCATCCAGGTGGACCCAGGACCTCCCAGGGCTGAGTTTTTGTTTGTTGAAAGGTTTTTGCTATAGGACACGTGTGCTCGCCAGACAGACAGAGACAGAGAGACAGAAGGTGAGAAATCTCCCCACAAGGGGGATGGCCACACCGCAATCCCTTCTCCTCCGTTCTCCTCTGGGGATCTCTGGCACGCATGCACACGCGCCTGGCGTGAGTTTTAAGCCACTGGGTCCGGGACTCAAACCGCAGTCGACTACATGGGAGTCCAGCGACATAGCCATTACGCTAACTGCTGGTCCCGCCAGGGCTGTTTTTGGTTCCCAGCTAACTCCTGTATTTCTCATGGCATCTTTACAACAGCCTTGTGGGTCTGCTATTATTGTCCTATCTTACAGAGGAGGAAGCAAATTTAGGGAGGGAAATTGACTTACCCAAAGTCACTCAGCTAACAAGCCAGACCACTTCTTCCTGGCAAGAGCCTGGATCTCCACTTCTCACAGTGTCCAGCCTGGGGTTGTTGGGAATTGGGAGTTATATGCACAGGCCTCCTGGCTGCTGTCCTCAGAGGGGTGGTCAGTGCTCTGGGGCCCAGGGAGGTTTCTTTCCCTCCTCGCCTAGGTCTGTTTTTGTGGCTTGCTCTGTCCCAGTGGATAGCAGGCATGGCTTCTCAACACAAGGTCACAGCCCACACCTATGTGGGAAGGGCCAGGCAGGACATCACCATGTGAGAGTACAGCATCTTTTGGCTCCTCCAGGTAAAATAGGGTTTGGGCTCCATTCTCCAAATTCTTCTACCCTCTAAGGATTGTGCCTCCCTGGTGAAGGAGGAAGCATCCCAAATCCCTGGAGTATTATGAAGGGAAAGGAGGATGAAGGTAGAGGTAGGGACAGGATAAAGATGTGTCCCAAAGACTCTGGAGGCTCTGGAGCCTGCCAACTACTGAAACAGGCAAGGCAGTGGGTGACCCAAGCAGAGGACAAGCAGGGGTTGGAGGAAGAGGATGTATTATTGATAGAACTCGGATGTGGTAAGTTTGAGGTACCTGGAAATCAGCCAGGCTGGGAGTTCAGGAGCGTGGAGGAAGGTCTAGAGAAGCTTTGTAAGCACCTACAGTACCCAGAGTTCCAGGATCCTCAGAACTGAGGGGAGCACTGGAGGGCTCAGGTGCTGCTGGCATGTGTGTCATGAAAAAGCCAGAAGGCAACTGGCAGGCCAAGTGGCAGGGATTGAGAAGGAAGTTGTAGGTGGGAGAGTTGGGGGGAGGGCAGAGCCCAGATGAGATCCAGGGCATTGGGAGAGAGGGAGAGGCTGTGAGGCTCAGGCGATGGCTGGAGAAGGGGCACCTCTGTTCCACTACCCCAGGAGGGAAGGGTGGGATGGGAGAAGAGTGGGGCCAGTACAGCTAGAGCCAGCCTAGCCTGCTCTCCACCTATAGGCCATCCAGGAACTGTCCAGCACCAGGTGCTCCTGAAGGAGGACGGGCCTCTCTCTCGAACCCCAGACTCTGGCTTAGCTTGTGGTCCTGATCACTGTTCATCTGACCTTTAGTCTCCTATGGGGACTAGCTCTGGACCTTACTTTCCTATGGGGGCCAGCTCTGGACTCCTTTGCACCCCATTTTTAGAGCACCCCTTCTTCTAAGTGTGTGTTTCCTTTCCTGAAGGAGGGACTGGGTCCCCTCACACATACACTCTGCCCTGCTGGAAGTAGCCAGTGCTCCAGAAAGGGACAGATTTTGAATAGGACTCCACACCCCCAGCTTGTCCATTCTGCAGCTCTGGGCCCACCTGCATGGCACCTCCATATAGCAGGAGCCCCAGGGAATGATGGGCTAGTCGCCTCCCTTGCTAGAGCTCTGGTTCTCCATCTGCACAACAGGAGAAGCTCCTCTTTCTTACAGAGAAGATGTGAGGGGAGAAGGGTTTCAAACAGTAGATGGGGTTCTGGAGAGCTGACCTCAGCCCTTGGTGAAGCCTAGCTTTGTTTTTCAGGGAGCAGCCTCTACAGCCATCTGCCCAAGCAGTTGCAGGAAGGAAGAGAATGCTAGATATTTAAGAAGTAGGTTGGAGGGAGCTTTTTTTAAGAATTATTTCATTGTATGGGACCAGCAGATGGTGTGATGGTTTCGTTGCTGGATTCCCATGTAGTCGACCGCAGTTCGAGTCCCAGACCAAGAGGCTTAAAACTCACACGAGGCATGTGTGCATGCATGCCCAAAATCCAGAGAGGATAACAGAGGAGAGGGATTGCAGTGTGACTATTCCCTCTGAAGAGTAATTTCTCAATTTCTCTCTCTCTCTCTCTCTCTCTCTCTCTCTCTCTCTCTGGAAAGTGCATGTGCCCTATAGCAAAAAAAAAAAAACTAACTCTCAATAAAATAAGAATTATTTGGGACCAGCAGTTGGCGTAATGGCTGTGTTGCTGGACTCCCATGTAGTTGACCACAGTTTGAATCCTGAATCCAGTGGCTTGAACTCACACTGGGCACGTGTGTGTGCGTGCCCAGAATCCCGAGAGGAGAATGGAAGAGAGGGGATTGCATCATGGCCATCCCCCTGGGGAGGGTGATTTCTTGCTTTCTGTCTCTGTCTCTGTCTTTCTGGCAAGCGCACGATACAATAATCTCTCCAAAAAAGACCAAAAAGAATGACTTAATTTTATTCATTATTTTTTTTTAACTTGATCAGACAGAGGCAGAGAGAAAGGGAACGTAAGAAAGCAAGCCAGCAGGTCTGGGACTTGAACCACAGTCAACCATGCGGGAGTCCAGCACCTTACCACCACACCACCTGTGCCAGCCCCACGGGAGCGGAGCGTTGATTTTCTAATTAACTACTTAGTTAGTTCAAAACTAACCCTTGAGGCCATGTTCCTCTTACCTTCATCTCAACAGAGAAGGACACAGAGGTCCCAGTTGTGCAGCTGGGAGGCAGGGTAGCCAACCCAGACGGTCTGGCTCCATATCTCAGACTTTTAACCACACCACTGTCCCAACATGTCGAATAACCAGATGGGGACGTGGAGAGATGTCCAGGTCCTGGGGCCACCTGGGACTGAGGTCTGCAGACCCTAGAAGCAGCAGGGCTTATTGAGGTTGGGGGTATCAGTAGAAGGTATAGGT